TTTTTTTTTTTGCCCCTGCGCATCTGCCATCAGCACAGCGCACTTCATCTATGTGCCGCAAGTATGGTACATGGGCATTAACTCCACAGTACTTTCTTGTACCAGGATTTAATGAATGTACCGTACGACCCCATCCCGCTTCCCCCCCTGTCCGCCCCCTCTCCTCCTCCCCGTTGCCCCCAACCCATCTCAGCCCCAATCCACCTAGCGCACACTTTGTTTTGAAGGGATGAGTATAGCGTTTTCAGGGGCAAAAACAAAAAAATGATTAGTTGTCCTCTTTAGTACCTCTTTACAACTCAAAACAAAGTCTTTTTTCTTTTTTTTCTTTTTTTTTTGGGGGAGTAACGTCTTCATATTCGTCCGGTGCGGCTGAGCTGTTAATAAGCAGCTCGTGAATTCAAATCCTGGTGGGATCAGCCGGATAGAATAATCATTCAATAATGTTAGTGCTCAACTCCCCTTGAAAATAACGTCTGCAATGCATCAAGTGGGAGAGCAATGAATGCGTTTATGAAATTATGAGCTATGTATGCATTGTCTTTTTTGTTTGTTTTTTTTAATCTTTTCTTTTTCGTTAATGTACGCGTGTCTTGGCTGCGACTTGCCAACTTTGGCTGCGTTAGAGACGCCCCGCAGCACTCTCCCTCGACATGCACTTCCCTTCCTCCTGCTAGAAAGCTCTGATTTTTTTTTTTTTAATTTTTTTTTTTATCCCTGGACTAAAGGATCGTGAGGTGCATATATTCTGACACTTCATTTTTTTAATTTTTAATTTTGTTTTTTACATTTGATGGATGTGTTGAAATGTTGGGCTGGTGGTTTGTGCGCGTTCCAATTCCCAGGTTGATCTTACGATGATAAAGGACAACCCGGTCTGCAGACTGGGTATGTGATGACGACATGGAGGAGGAGGAGGAGGAGGGAGGAGCCATGCAAGGGCGAGGGTGGTCCTCTGCCTGATCTACATGGCAAGCTGCAGACGATGAGCAGTAGTGGTGCTCCGCTTCATGATCTACATGGCAAGCTGCACACGACGAGCAGTAGACAGGCGAGGAATTGAAAAGAAGAAGAAAAAAAACGGGAAAAAAAGGCGAGGCGAGCAATTCAATGCGAGGGTGGATGCAGCAGAACATCACATGAACGTTGTCCTGCAGAGCACGACACAGTTTTTTGCTCAAGTATTTGATGTACGGACAACGTACACGGAAGGAAGCAACAGATGGAAATAGAGGTAGGTAGGCCCAATGTGAGTGGACCGGGAGACGTTAGAGGTGAAGGTGTGTGCTTGTTTGCTTGGTGAGGAGGAGGACGGCGACGAGGACGAGCACAGGGATGTTGTGTGTGTGGCATTTTGTGTTGTTGTTTTGGAGGCGTGCAATGAATTTGGACGGGTTTCAGGCTCTCTCCAGTCTGCCTGCCATTTTTGCAGATGTGTATGGGATTATTTGAAAGCGGTTTTTGAGTTGTGAAGCAATTGAGGACATAAGTGACATAACTCAATTTTGACGGAATTGGTGCCGGCGATTGATTCACAAAAAGCGGTTTTTGAGATGTTACACTTCTTTTATTTTGAAATTTGAAAATTCTGACAATTTTGATGGAATTGCTGCGGGCGATTGGAGAGGGAGGTAAATCCCCTATTTGTACTGCTTGCCTTGCGCTGAGGTTTTTAATGCATGTGGACATGGGTCGTGTCCAGATGCATTAAAAATGTTGGTGGATGGGGAGTGGTGCAACTAGGCCCACAGGCAAACGGACAGACCTGTGTCAATCTTTGTTGGTGTTTTCAACATCTGAGTTCTGCTGTGGAGTTGGATTTTTTTTTTTTTTTTTTTTTTTTTTTTTTTTTTTTTTTTATGGTGTTCAGTGCTCTCTGATTTCTGCATTTCTCTTTTGTCTTCATTGTTCTCGAGTTGGAATTTCCCAAAATAATTGTGGAGTGGGAATTTCATAAAATAATAATTTAGTTATTTCAACTTATTTCAACTTGTTTCTTCAACAGTTTGGTAGGTAGTGCAGGCAGTTGCTGCCAGTTACTAATGTTCCCTTTTTTCTTTTTTCTTTTTTTTTCCCTCTTTTTTTTCCTTTTTTTTCTTCCTTTTTTTTTTTTTAAGGGCCACTTTTGAATTTTCTTCCTAACTGCCGTTCCTGAAATGGCCAGCTTTCATCCTTGACTGCTCTTCCTGCAATGTGGCCAATTGGCAGTCCCCAAAACAGCTT